AATAGCAAAGCACTGTTGGAATTATATTATAGGGAAATGGATTATACATAGCACAGTATGGTAGTGTACATGTAGGCAGGAGGTGGGGTTCAACAATACCGCATGGGTTGCAGCAGCATGTTTCTAAAAGAAATACACTATTAGCACAGCAGTTAAATGCAGGTCAGTTCAATGTAGGTGAGGTCAATGTATGATGAATTCTGTGGGGAGCAAAACATGACATACTATGTCAGTTGTGAGCAAAAGAGAATTGTAAGCAACTCCCACAATGAAGAAGGGTTTACATGAGCCAGAAGCTGGTATTTGCTCAAAATATTTGTGTTTATGCTTGCCCCTGCCCTATTATATCCACTGGTCCACTAGGACAGGAAGGCAGATTATATTGTGGGTTCCATCTATCAAAGATGTACATCTGGTGAGAGCATGAAAAGAGGATCTTTTTGATGATTGCCCTTTCTCTAAGGAAAATCTTCCCCTCCGCCCCCGGTATAATTGTTTCCCCACACTGTTGCTTTTCTAAAAGCTCTGAAAATGTGGTTTTTGACAGCAGGCTTGGAGACCACAAATGGAGATGGAGCCAATCAAGGGGTTAATTTTGGATTTTTATTGTTGTAAGCCACCCAGAGTTACCTCTGTATGAGTTGGGGAGATAGATAGATAGATAGATAGATAGATAGATAGATAGATAGATAGATAGATAGATAGATAGATGGATGGATGGATGGATGGATGGATGGATGGATGGATGGATGGATGGATGGATGGATGGATGGATGGATGGAGACAGGGGGAGAGAGAGAGAGAGAGAGAGAGAGAGAGAGAGAGAGAGAGAGAGAGAGAGAGAGAGAGAGAGAGATAATAAGGCATTTCTTTATGGAAAACTTCATAGCCCTGCTGAATCCAGTTGCTGAGTCCCAGATTTGTACCCTGGAAGAGCACAGCACAATATGAATGAGGGCTGTGGCATGTGCAAGATATGGTCTCATTACGACAGTAGAGGCATAGGAAACTTTTGATAGAGAAAATAGGAAAGGCTCTGAAACACCTCAGATATAGAATGGATCCAAACATTGTGATCATGGCTCATGAGATTGCAGCATAACTAGGATTACCAATAGCATATCTAAAACAAATGTATCTCTCTTTATGCAGACAGGAAGATAGGGAAGTAATTTATTTCCCTATCTATTGCCTATTAACTCAATCTCCATCCAATAACCTCTAAATTTGATGAAATTATGAAGAAACTAGACAATCAGCAGTCATTCAACATGCACTACCAAACATGGAAGAGACATCCATTTTCTCCTTATGAAGTTCTCAGCCAGAACAATGCTCAAATAGTTCTGTTAGGGCCCACCAGCTAGTTTTTTTTCTTCTCCAATAAGTCAATTTATTGAGACCATTGGATGTATGAACAAGGAATGCTCAGCAATCCTGGGGAAGGTGCTGGATACAGCAAGAAAGAGAAATTTCAGAGAGCTAGTTTGTTCTAGTGATTAAGACACCAAGCTAGAAACTCTCAAGAGACTGAGAGTTCAAATCCCAACTTAGCTATGAAAGCCATCTGGGTGACCTTGGGCCAGTCACTCTCTCTCAGCTCACCTCACCTCATAGGGATGTTATTGTAGGGAAAATGGGAGGAGGAAGACATGTTGGATATATTAGCTGCCTTGAGTTATTTGTAAAAGTAATAAAGGCAGGATAGAAATAAATTAATAAAATTCTAAAGTGTGAAGTACAAGTTGGGTTCATTCAAAAGATCTACAAATAGAAACCTTGTCCCCAAATGGAAAGCAATTGATGCTTGATGTCTTTGAATAGGTGGGAAGGGAAGAAGCAGGGAACTATACCAATTGGAAGGCCCAATAATCACCATACACTCAGATCATCTGGCCAATATCATTGCCAAAATTGAAGAAAGTGATGTAATTCAAACAGCAGTTTATTTTATCGGCTTCATTTCTAGCTGGTTGTGGCATGTGAGATAAGCATCTTAAGACTGCCAGGCAGAAAAGCCTTTCATCTTCATATAGGCACATTTCCTGGGAAGTAATATTAACCATTTCAAAATTTCTTCCACCTTAGGGTTAAAAAAAATCATTTTGATGGGAAGGCCAATTCCTAGTTTTGGCAAAGGCGCACAGTACACCCTAAAGGATCTGATAAATTAACCCATGCTGTGAGATGTGAATAGATGAAAACTAGCTTTTGGGTCCAAGCGGGCTTTTTCTGTTTAAAGAGAAACCTATTGAAAGCTAGATTGTGCTTTTATAATTCCATCAAGTCTTTTGAAAATGACTTTAGTCTTTAGATGACTTTTGATTTGCTGGTTGGACCCAAAACATTTTCTTGATTGGGCAAAGCATTAGACATTCTAGAGACTAGCTTTTGTCCCCAATCCACATCTTTTGTAAAATCAGTGCTCAGGAGAAACTTCTGTATAAACAAAAAGGACTAAAATCATGTTCCTACACTATCAATGTCCAAACACAGCCACATTTTTCCCCACCACCATTTCTACAATAAACATATATAAGTTGAACTCAGGACCTTCGGTAACAACTACTTTATTTTTGCTGACTACATTGATTTTATATAGTATTCTGTTTAGGTAATAGTTGTTTTCCCTCTATTTCCCCGTCCCCTGTAAAATCTTTGTTTATATCCAAAGATCTGCCTTCATAGATTTTATAAGTGTATTTCATACTAAAACATTTCCTATGCTATCCCGTTTCAGAATAGCTACAAGGTTTGTTCAGTTTTGTATTTCTGTTTTTTTTAGATTGGTAGATCAAAAACATCATTTTCACAGATCTGGGCTGAGGGGGTTAGTTCTGGTAGAAGAACCTAACAATTGACTAGTTGGGCTGAATAGATAGCATTACTTTTCCACTAAAGTACGCTTGGAAAGTGTCTGCCAGGAGATATTAAAATTCTCTCCCTTTCTGGTTTGATAAGAGGTGGTGATTTATGTAAGATCTTTGGTGGATTGCAAACCCTGAGGGAGGGAGCATACAGATAGTTCTCAACTTACGTTAGTTTAGTGACCATTCAAAATTATAACGGTACTGAAAAAGGTGACCTATGATTTTTTCACACTTACAAATATTGCAGCATCCCCATGGTCATATGATCAAAATTCAGACACTTGGCAACTGGCATATATTTATGACGGTTGCCGTGTCCCAAGGTCATATTTTGTAACCCTCTGACAAGCAAAGTCAATGGGGAAGCCAGATTCACTTAACAGCTGTGTAACTAACTTAACAACTGCAGTGATTTACTTAACAACTGTGGCAAGAAGGTCATAAAATGGTGCAAAACTCACTTAAGAATTGTCTTGCTTAGCAACGGAAATTTTGGGCTCAGTTGTGGTTGTAAGTTGAGGACTACATGTATATCCTTGATATAGGTAAATACAACACAATTGCATTTCCCACTTTTATTTTAGAGCATTACAAAAGACTGACAACGCAAGAATAGCCTTCCCTATCTAATTTCCTACATATGCAAACTACAATACCCACAACTTTCAATTAGATTGGGGAAAGTTAACTGGAAATAGCAAGTTTAGGTAAATCATTCTTTTAAGAGATGACAAGGCTTAGGGCATAGTACATTCTGGATAGTTTAGAAAATAATTTTCATCGGTCTCAGCCATCAGGATTAATGACCCTCAAAATATTTGTACTACAGTAATAATAATAATAATAATAATAATAATAATAATAATAATAATAATAATAATAGTAGTAGTAGTAAAGTTGGAAGGGACCTTGAAGGTCATCTAGTCCAACCCCCTGCTCAGGCAGGAAACCCTATACCATTTCGGACAAATGGCTGTCCAGTCTCTTCTTAAAAACTTCCAGTGTTGGAGCATTCACCGCTTCTGGAG